CGGGCGACGCCGCCGGAGATCGCGCCGGGGCTGGATGAGACCACCACGGAGGTGCTCCGGGCGATGGCGGAGGGGGAGGGGGACGGGGAAGGGCCCAATGGCGCCCTTCGACTCCTTCAAGAGGATCTCGAGTGGCTGCTTCAACAGGCCGCGGTGGAGGACGCGACCCACGCCCGACTGGGCGGCCGCCCCGCCGGGGGCATGGCGGCGATCGCAGGGGGTGACGAGGTGGCCGCCCTGCAAGCGGTGATCCAGGCCCAGGCGGAGCGGATTCGCCTCCTGGAAGAGGAAGTGCGGTGCCTGAGATCGGCCGGAAAGGAAAACGCCCCAGCATGCGAGTGACTACGTATAACCGAATGAGATTCCGACGGTTTGGTGTGTGTCTTTTTATTTTTAATACACACACACATATATATATATCTATTTACACGAATCTTTCTGCTCTTTCTTTTTCTTCTTTTGCATAGAAACAATGCCCTTGAAATGTTTCGTCCATTTATGGGAGGGGCTATCTTACTCATTCTTCTTGTTGCACTCTTGTGGATCATTGTTTTCCAACAGTGTGGCATATCACCAAGAGAATTTTTCAATTTTTTTTTTGCTTTTTACGCCAAGTTTTTCTTGCTGGAAAATGGAGCACAGAACTTTTTTTCCGTTTTTATTTCTGTATGTAGACTATTCCTCCCCTCCCCTCGCCACAGTGTCTCTCAGCTGAAAATTCCATATTAACACTGAAGCGCCCATCCTCGGGACGAATGTCTGAGGAGGACGAAGAGACTCGCGCTGAGTTGTTTGTTTCATTTTATTCCTTCGTATTTTTATTGAAAAAAGAAATCGTGATTTGACGCGAGGCTCCAATCCTGTTCGATGGTAGAGTATCGCCGGAGGAATATTTTACACTCGAGCAGCTTTCCCTACGTGAGAGAGTACTGTAGGGGCACTACAGCTATCAGATTCCAGGATGGCATCCGATGAGGGGCCTTGAGAACACATAATGTAAGCGGTGTTGAGGCTTCTCGCATGAATCCTGCCACTAGTGGATTCAAGACGCCGTACAGAATTCATTGAATGCTTTGCATTCAGAAAAAAACAACATGAATCATCCCACCTACACGACGCACATGGATCTGACAAATCTGATTGATAAGAAGGGACATAAAAACCAACAACAACATCTTTTTCTCACTCTTTGAATAATTCTTGAAGCAAATATATACTATTCCTTTTCATCACTCATTGTCCTTCTTCAATCATGTCTTTTATCAGTGTCAACATTGCGCTGGTATGCAGTGCGTTCGATAAGGTCGCCATCCCCCTTTCCTTTTCTCTCTGCCCGAATTCGGAGGGCGATCCCAGCGAGACTAACGTTTGCTATCGTTTGGAATCCCTATCTCAAAAGAAGCTCCGGCCCGGCTACGGATACGTGCACTGCACCCTCGCGCAGTTGTGCATCCGGGCGACGGAGCTCACAGAGGTCAAGGATGCGGCGCGAAAGGTGTGGAACGTTCACCGGGAGGCCTCGGAGGAGTCGAAGGAAAAGCTCGAACTAACGGGCATCCATCCGGGCCCGGTGTTTGGAACGACGGCGACGGGAAAGGAAATCCGTTTGCCGTATATCTCGGTAACTTGCTCCGACGCCTTAATGGCACTCCATAGTGATATGCTTGAAAAAATCAGGCCCTTTCAGGTTAAGTTGAGCTCGATGAAGGTGGGTAAATCGGCCTTCCACAATTCCTTCCCGGCGGAGGACAACGCGAGCGTGGAATGGATGATTGACTTTTACGAAAAGAACTCGCTAGAAAACTACAACCCCCACGTCACCCTTGGCTCGACGCAGGATCCAATCGATATGAACCTAGTCTACTTTCAGAAAATGCAGCTTCCACTGCACGCATGTGGGTTGGTAGTTAGCCATATGGGGAACTACTGTTCTTGCTTTGAATTGTTATAAAGAAGATGAAAACTTGAGAGCTTCAGGAGTGAAAAGGGGGGGGGGGAGGGGGGATTTATACACAAGTGTTTAGTTAAAATGACAAATAGAATGAAAGTCTCCTCGGTGGTATTGTAAAATGGGAACTGATGGCTTTTTCCCAATTATTAGCATTCAAAAGTTTTTTTAGCATGCAAGCAGGGATATGTCTATAAACATAGGATACTTTTCCAATAAATTGTTGTTGTGGCGGTGTGAAATAGAATTTACACTTCGCTACGTGTTCATTAAGGTCAGCTTTATGATTTCGCTACCATTTTTATTGGGCTGAGTGGATGCACTGTATGACTCGTTGGTTTCCTATTCCTTCTTGATATCTTCATCGCTACTACACACCCGAGGGTACATGGTTGAAATAGGCATTGAAAAGAACCTTCCACACGGTTTGTTTGTTTTTCCAGCCTAAATGGTATCCCTCCACAAGAATCATGTCCAAGATCAGCAAGGAGCGCGTATCTTGTAAAAATTATTCCGCTCAAACTTTTCGGCAACATCCGACAAAAAGGAACTGCTAGAGCCTTCTTTGTGTGTGGAGAGGGTGGTTTCCACATTAAAGGGGTCTCCTCCTGCATGGTCAAAAAAATAATAAAAAAGGAACCGTTAAATTTTCGACAATTTGCCTCCGAAAATGCTTGGATCCTCCCGGATGAAGGGTGTGAACCTAAAACTAGCTGGATAGATGAGTCAAGGGAACGATATCTTCCCCCCTACTCGACAACCCCGCGGCCGCACGCGCTGCCGCGCAGGTGGCCTCAAAAAACGCGTTTCGAGCGGCCGCCTCGGCGTCTTCTCGCGCGCGAATCGCCTCGATTTGCTCCCGCTCCGCCGAGGGCCCGCCGCGGTGGAAGGCCTCCGCGCGCTCCCGCTCCACCGCGGCGACGGGCCGCTCGTCGAGGCTGCGCAGCCCCGGCAGGGCGAGG